AATTACATCGCTCGTGACACCCGGCGCCTGGGTGCCACCATCGATGTGGAGCACTCCCACGTCCGGTTTCTGGGCAACCTGGTGCTGAACCTGTGGGACTGTGGCGGGCAGGACACCTTCATGGAAAACTACTTCACCAGCCAGCGAGACAACATCTTCCGTAACGTCGAGGTGCTGATTTACGTGTTCGACGTGGAGAGCCGCGAACTGGAGAAGGACATGCATTACTACCAGTCGTGTCTGGAGGCCATCCTCCAGAACTCGCCTGATGCCAAAATCTTCTGCCTGGTGCACAAAATGGATCTGGTTCAGGAGGATCAGCGTGACCTGATTTTCAAGGAGCGAGAGGAAGACCTCAGGCGCTTGTCTCGCCCCCTGGAGTGCGCTTGTTTCCGAACCTCCATCTGGGACGAGACGCTCTACAAAGCCTGGTCCAGCATTGTCTATCAGCTGATTCCCAACGTGCAGCAGCTGGAGATGAACCTGAGGAATTTTGCCCAAATTATTGAGGCCGACGAAGTGCTGCTGTTCGAGAGAGCGACATTCCTGGTCATTTCCCATTACCAGTGCAAAGAGCAGCGCGACGTGCACCGATTTGAGAAGATCAGCAACATCATCAAGCAGTTCAAGCTGAGCTGCAGTAAATTGGCCGCTTCTTTCCAGAGCATGGAAGTTAGAAATTCCAACTTCGCCGCTTTCATCGACATCTTCACCTCAAACACGTACGTGATGGTGGTGATGTCGGATCCGTCGATCCCGTCTGCAGCCACGCTGATCAACATTCGGAATGCCAGGAAACACTTTGAGAAGCTGGAGAGAGTGGATGGTCCCAAGCACAGCCTCCTCATGCGTTGAATGTTGCCAAATGCTCTCTCTGAAGATGCTGAAATGCCTTCCCTCCCTTCCTCCCTCCCTCCCCCGCATCCTTTTAGTATTCATAATGTCGTGTGCTTCAAAGTGGGCTTTGAATTGTGTGCTGCTTACTACTTCCATCTCTTCCCTGCTCCCCATTCTTTAAATCTCGGACGCTCTTTCCTCAGCTATCCAGTAGAGCTTTAAGATGGCCTTTCTGAAAAGTTGGTATGGTGTAACACTAAAGTAGGTGGTGTGTGGTGTGTGTGTGTGTTCCGATTACCTGGTTGTAATAGATATACACATCAAAGCCTTTACAATATCTTCCTGTATTCCTTGCAAGATTGCAAAGGTGGAATGTTACTATTTTATCAGCAAGATATTAAAATGCATTTATAAATTCTTCTTGGCTTCAGTCATAAATAAACATTTGCTGTTAGCAATTTAAAATATGGTCTTATTTGAAATAATTTGAAGGGGCTAATATGTAAATCTAAAGATTCTGCCTGCCCACAAGTATTGCTTTACTGGTAAATTTGATTTTGTGATCTTAGCCCCCCATCACCTGAGGGATGTTTCATAGCAACTGTAATAGTGATTGAACATTGAATCTGGAGCTAGACCACCTGAGCTGAGTTAGTATTCTTTCCAGTGCCTTCACTTACTAGCTCTGTAAACGGGCAAGGTATTTAATTTTGCTGTTGGGTTTTGTTTTCTCATTTATAAAATGTGTATAAGAATGGCACTACAAAATAGGATTGTTAAAAGGATTCAAATAGAAAGCGTTTAGCATGGTGCCTGGCATATACTCAGTACTGTGTCAGCTAGCAATACCACCTACTAAGCCATTCTTTTTGCCCCAACCCCACACACATACTCCAAAATTACTGGACATGGAGCCTAGCAACATATTGAACCCTTACTAAATGCCGGGTATTCTTAAACACTTGATGTGCATTTTCTTTTTAATCCTCACAACCTATGGAGTAAATTACATCTCTAATAAATGAGAAAATTGGTATGGCCTAATAGAGCTGAACCTAGGCAATATGATTACAAATCCTCCCCCTTTCCTATTACATCCCACTACTATCCCACTGATAAGTGTTAATCATAAAAATCCTAGCTTTTAAAGTGTACATTACTTTATATAATTCCCTTTATAGATGGAGGAAACAAGCCCAGTAAGTTAAATAATTTCTCTCAATATTACAACTTTACAGCTGTATGTGGATGACAAGGTCCCCTACCTGTGAAGAGCAAGAAGCTAACCAGATGCAAGTAATTAAACACATCTACTTGGAGCCTTTGGCAATAAGTTACTATAAAGGTTCCAGATGAAAAAAACTCAAGGTATAAATGTACTTTTTAAAGTACCACATTAGTGACTCTAATTAAAATGGCAGTAACAAAATGCTTGTATCTGAATCTCACAAATTTTTGATCAAGTTACTGGTTATATGTGATCATTTTGTGGTTTGAAGGGCATGGTTATTTTTTATATCTAGCAAGTTCCATAGCTAAGTGATATAATATTGAATGTTTATTCAATACTAGAGCATGTAGAACATTTTTACAAATGGTCTCATAGGGGACCCACAAATATTTTAAATTTAGGATGTAGACTTGACATTCACTAGGGAGAACTATGCATATGTAACATTATGTAAAGGAGAATTTTACTTTAGCATACACTTTCCTTACATTGAGGAAAATGTCCTTAAACATATTTTAGTTTATTCAGAGTAGGAAAAAATAGTTTCCTTTTATACAGGTCTCAAGAATTCCCGTTTTCCTTTAGATAAAATCGACTGCCCTGGTGGGGTGGCTCTGTTGGTTAGACTGGGGATTGAGCCCTCAACTTTAGCATATCATGATGATGCTCTAACCAACTGAGCTAACTTGGCTAGAGTTAGCTCTTAAGCTTTTTAGTCTGATAATTACCAAGGAAGTATATTTAAAATGCAGATTCCTAATCCCCATTTTAGACCTATAGGATCTATGTATTGCAGGTGATTCCCTGAGTCCATTTAACCCTTTGAGTGCCAACCAATATCCTAGGAACTATGCCAAAATTGCCAAGCCATTTTTGCTGATTTTACAGCAGTTTAGGAAAAAAATTATGAAAATTAGGTAAATGCCAGTGGTCAATTTTAGAACTACAAACATTCGGCATCATAAGTAATCTGCACTTAGGTACCATCTGTCCATGAAAGAGTGAAAAACTAGCATCTAATAGTGACACTGCAGGAGGAGCGCGACAGCGCTCCCACTCCTGGCCCTTTTGGGGAAAGAGGAGCACGATTGCGCTCCCCGGCACTTTAGACAAGTCATGTAAGTTCCCTGGCTTCAGCCCATCTACAATCACTATCTTAACAGGGTAAGAATTAGATGAAATCATACATATTATGTGACTAATAATGGCTCTGGTACTTAGTAGATAATGTCCTATCCTTCCTAACATTAATTTCGGATTTACAGATACTGAGTTTTCTTAAGTTAGACTAGAGAACTTAGTTTCCCAGTATACCTATAAAGTCCCTTATTTGTTCTATTAACTAATAAAGGAATATAGCACCTTAGGAGCTTTCTTTTTTTTTCCACTGCAAAATATGTGCTTTTTTCTGTCTTTTCTCACAGACTGGCCTTCAAACTGGGATTGAACAAACAACTTAGAGAAGCCCAAAATGAGTGAAAGATAATTAAGCCCACCTACTTTCAGAACTCTCCCCTCCCCTTTTCTCCTCTCCCTGTCAGTTTCTTGGCAGGTGGACATGATTTTAATGGTTAAGAGTTGGGACAAGATAGAGGGGTACTGTTGGTGCTCTGCCTTCGTGTGTAATCATTCCTCCTGATTCATGGAGAGCTATGGGATGTACTCACTTGATTCTAGAGACAAGCCCTTTTCTCGGCCAGAGACCATGACTGAGTGAGGCAGGGTTTTGTACAAGAGGCCTTACATCTGACTCCCATTTCTGAGCCATATCCTACTGTCCTGGCCTTTTAGTTACTTGTGGTTTATTAAGGAAAGAAAATAGGGTCAAATCCTAGCTTTACCACTGACTTAGCTGTGTGACACTGAACAAGTAATTTAACCCCAAATTCAGTTTTCTCAAGTTATTTTGAGACTGTTCTGTAGGCTTTGGGGAACTGAGGAAGAAAGCAATATAATCAAAATTAGCTCCTTTCCCACAAAACAGTGCCCTCACCGCCCCCCTACCCCCCAATAAAAGAAAACACACAGACATTTTTTAATTTGCATTCTTTTCTGTTAAAATATAAAAGGGTTAAGTTAAATTCTCATAGTCTAAATTAGACTAAATATAAATCTGCTATACAACCCAATGAATGGATTCAGTTTGATAGTATTCCTTAAAAGTGTCTAGTCATCTTCTTCCATCTTTTTCCTTTATTAAAGTCATTCTGCTCCAATCTTCACATACCACATGCACTTTATTCCATAAAATATCATTTTTCAGCATCAACCTACTTGAATAATCAATCATGAAACCTATTTAGAGCTTTCCAAACTTTGTCCTTTTGACTACACAGCTCAAAGCACTATTTTTCTCTTTTATTTTTTTGTTAGTACCAGGATGTTTCATTAAGAAATAATAAAAGTTCTCTATTTCCCTAAAATGAAAGACCAATGTATTCAATGGCTATTATCTTAACCATGTAATAAATGTACATCAAAAACTACTCATTCTTATGTTAGTTCACTGAAATTATAGTAAATTTAACTACTACTTTGCCATTTTCTTAATGCTTGTAAGATTATTCAAGAAATCAAAATGGCTTCACATAACTTGATGTTTGCTTTCCAAATACTTCACATTTCAACTCCACTTACCTAAAAACATTAGAAGAGTCTTAAGGGAATTATTTAAGACTTTTTAGACCTTGAAAAATGTCAGTTTTGGGGGGCTTTTACATTTTTTTGGCTTTGTTTTTTTTCATCACCATTTATCCCCCCTATAACTCCTCCACCTCCACCCACCCCTATAAGTCTGAGGTGTTTTTGTGTTGTTTTTATTTATTTTAGCGAGAGAAAAGGAGAGGGAGAGAAACACCAATGTGCGAGAGAAACATCAACCAGCTGCCTCCTGCACAATTCCTACAAGCCAGCAACCGGGGCCTGTGCCCTGACCAGGAATCGAACTGGTGACTTCTCATTTCATGGGAGGGTGCTCAACCTACTGAGCCACATCAGCTAGGGCTATAAGTCTATTTTTAAATCAACTTGCTTCAACTGAAGTGTGCAACGTAAGTAAATTATCTCTTCAACTCAGACGGCGATTCTTTTGCATCAAGGCTCTTATTCAAGATTTCTGCTTCTGCAAAATTGATTTTAAAAAAGAGAAAAGGATACGCAAACATTACCAAAAAAATCAAATAGCACAGACTCCAAGTAGTAGCAAATTTCAGTCTTCTTAAGGATAAAGTTCACATATATATATTTAACTATGATAAAATTACCATCATTCTCACTGAGGTATTCTCCAGAGAATGTCAATATATCCCTCTTAGAATACTTTTCAATATACCAGTTTTTAATTATCATGGGCATATCAGAGTGACATATAATGAGTTATCACCAGACCCATATCTGTTCTAACATGCTTTAAGAGCAGTTTTTTTAACTCTTTACATTGAAAATTTTCAAACATATATAAGAGAATTATGATTAACCTAATGTAGTTTGCTTCAATAATTCAATAATTATTTAATACTAACTATTAATGAGTTAAATTGTGTCCCCCACACATATGTTGAAGTTTCCAATAAGGTCACTGCAGATATGATGAGTTAAGATGAGGTCATTGTAGAGTAGTACGGGCCCTTATAAGAAAGTACAGAGACACACCAGGAAGAACGCCATGTGAAGAGGAAGGCAGAGCAAGTTAAAGTTTTGCTGCCACAAGCCAAAGAACACCTGAGGCTACCAGAAGAGGCAAGAAGGATCTTCCTCTAGTCTAGTGGCTTCAGAGAACATGGTTCTTGCCAACACTTTGAGGCTGGTTTCTAGCCTCCAAAACTTACTGTCTGCAGAGACAATAAATTTCAATTTAAGCCACTCAGTTTGCTTTGGTAGACCTAGAAAACTAATACACTGACCTTGTTTTATCATCCCACCCACACCAAATTTATTTTAAAGCAAATCAGATATTATATTACAAAAATGATATTTAACAGTGTCTCTCAACTTTTTTAGAACCATCTTCCAGTAACCAAGAAGATTTTGATGAAATTTACCTTTATTAGTTTGTATTACAAAAGTTTTACAAACTTTTGGTTTCAAGTTTTTGGTTTGTTTTTAAACCATCCCAGACTAATTGTAAACTACATACACATCACTAGAGATTCTGAAAGTACTGGGTACACTTTTCTCATCCTAGCCAAAAGAATGAGCATATTTTGTCACATTAACAAAGATCATATAGCATTCATTGTTTACTATTTTTATAAGAAGTTGAGAGAAACTTTAGTAAGTTAACACGCACCGGTTTATTTAATCTTACCTTTTAAATAAGGTGGAAGTTCTCCAAGACTACATGGCCTCGTGGTCCCCAATCTTTGTTCCACTGGAGAAAACTTAATTAGTGGTGAAAGAGATCGTTTTCTTTCACCAGGGGACATTCGTAAAGATGGTTTTGTATAGTCAGTATGCAAATCTTGAGTGTCCAGCAGGTTAAGCATATCATCTGTTTGCATGGTTTGAGGAGCAGGGCTCAATTCTTGTTTGTGTCTTTCAGGTATTTCAGAATTAAAGAGGTAAGTTTCTTCCCTTTTCTTGTTAAGAGGTTTTTTCAGAGCCTCATATCTACTGTAAATAGCCTGTACATGGGAGTCTGATTTTGGAGTAGTCTGTCTTTCTCCCACAACATCTTCTGAGAAAATGCTACTGTTCATAGGACTATTTGGTTCCAGTTTGAAATTGGCCTCTGTACTATTGGAGCTATTAAGACTTAAATGACCAACATCTTCTGGAAGAGTTTCATGTAATATGCCAAAATCAATATCCTTAAAACCTTCTCTATGTTCAGTATCCATTTGAATTGATTCTGTACTTCTGTTATCTTCTACTTTAATAGCTTTTCTCCATGAGTTCCTAATATCACTGACTAATTAAAAGGGGAGAAAAAAAAAACCATAATTTACCAATATTCCCAAACACAGCATGCAAATAAACATTTCATTTCTAGTGCTCAAGATAAAGCTACTGAGTATATGTTCCACAGATATGCTAGTTGAATGATAAGGCTCCACAATATACCAAAGCCCAACAAGATCAAAGAACTTATCTCCAACTAATCACACACAAATAACAAAACCTATTCCTGAAATGTACATATACTTTCACACAGCACATACAAATTGTATGTTATCAAAAAGATATTTTGGACAGAGTTCAGCAAACCTTTTCTATAAAAGGCCAGAGAGTAAGTAATATTTTAGGCTTTGCAGGCCATGTGGTCTACATCAACTATTTAACTCTGCCACTGTAGCATGAAAGCATCCATAAACAATATGTTGACAAATGAGCAAGGTTGTGTTCAATATAACTTTGCAAAAACAGTGTGTTAGGCTTTGTGATTCAACCTGAAGTGATCAATTTAAATTTGAATATATTATTTCTAGCAGCAAAATGGAAATTATATTTAATCACTCAACCAGGATGATGTGCCTACATAAGGACAGTATCAGAACTTTATCTACACAAATTATAAGTTATTAAAAAAAATTTATTGGCCCCTAGCCAGTTTGGCTCAGTGGATAGAGTGTTGGCCTACGGACTGAAGGGTCCCAGGTTCGATTCCAGTCAAGGGTACAAGTGCTCAATCCCCACTGGAGGGTGTGCAGGAGGCAGCCGATCAATGATTCTCTCTCATCATTGATGTTTCTATCTCTCTCTCCCTCCCTCTCTGAAATAAATAAAAACATATTTTTAAAAAATGTATTGGGCATTCTGGCCAGCTTAGGAGAGGTAGGAAAAATCTCTGAGCACACAGTTTCTGGCTGATGCTGCTGGTTACTGCCTGGGAGATCAAACCTCTATACTCTATAAATATTGATCACAGATCAGATGTGAAGGCAGAGGATTTTTTTAAGTGATCAACTAAAATATTTTCCAGGAAAAAGTCAAGTAAAACAAAAAACAAAATTGTACAGTACCAGGGCAAAATAATTTTACTGAAGAGGACTGCCATATAAGTGAGAGTGCCCACATGTAATACTTCGATAAAAATCCCTTACGTCAAAACAAAAACCCATTGCCACTAAACTTAAGTAAAAGAGTTTTTGTTTTTTAATATATTTTTGTTGATTTCACAGAGGAAGGGAAAAGGAGACAGAAACATCAATGATGAGAGAGAATCATTAATCGGCTGCCTCCTGCACACCCCCTACTGGGATTGAGTCCACAACCTGGACATGTGCCCTTGACCGGAACTGAACGCGGGTCCCTTCAGTTCGAAGGCCAACGCTCTATCCACTGGGCCAAACCAGCTAGGGCAGAAAAAGAGTTTTAAAGTGAGCTTCCAAAAGATTTGTCAGACCATAGTTCTAATAATGGTAATGTATAAAAAAGAAAATAAGTGATAGAAAACATTATTAACTTACTCAAGTTTTCTGGAGTTCGGGGAATTTGTTTCCTAGTTAAGAATGGGTTAGAAACTAGAGAGTCAATCAGTTCCTCTAATTTTACTTCTTTTCCCGTAGAGAGCTGTGGTGAATCAGATAATACTGTCCTCACAACCTAAAACAGAAAAGGTAAAGCAAAAATTACCCCCAAATTAAGCCCATTGGTAGAATGCAACAAAAGCCCTGATAGTAACAGAAAGCACTTTAGTCAGCAGCCCTTCCCACTGCAGATGGCATAAAAGTACACTCAACAGTGTAGCTCCCAGATACTCCCTACAGACTAGGCACAATCCTACCACGCAGCCATTTTCAATCTTTTTCATTTAAAGGCACACATAAACTAATTACTAAAATTCTGTGGCACATCAAAAAATATGTTTTATGCCGATATGAGAAAAATAATAAATATAATTTTTATTAATTCACATCAGATGGCTATTGTTGTACTAGCTGTTGTCATTTTTTTATTGACAATCTAAGAGAAAAGAGGTCAGGGGCCCTGACTAAATAGTCAGGTATTGCATGTTTTAAAAATCCTTGCGGCACCAGTTGAAAATTGCTGCTATAAGGTAACACAAAAGTTTCCTCCCTTATTTTAAATGGATATCCCATTATAAAGGAGAAAACAGATAAGACTCTATACTTAGGAAGATTTGGAGGTAGTTCTGACTACAATGACCTAAAACTAAACTACCATCTGCTACATCATTGAGCTTGACAACTCTATAGCTGCTAAAATGATAGTTTTAAAGCAAGCAGATTCTTAATTATAAACCATTTGCACAGTAACACGTCTATTAATAAACAGAATACATTCTGACAACATATTTCTTTGCCAGAAATCTCATTATCAAAGATAAATTAGTGAACAAGGCATAGATACTTTCTAAAATAAAAAAAAAGTATACAAAATGAAAATAGCACTCTGTATTAAAAGTGAATAAATCCAAAAAATATGCAAATTAAAATATCTGCCCCTTGAAATCCATAAAGAATAAATTTCCAACAACCATAATCAAATTGGCCTGCACTTACCCTCCCTTGTGAAAACAGGGCTTTTTAAAATTCAAATACTAAATATTCCTGTCACCAACACTATTAAATAAGATTCATTTCAGTTTATTTTCAGAGCTTTTTGAGGTTTTTAGGGCTCTCCTTTTCCATCACATCCATTCCACTGCTACTATAAATACTTTTAACCAGAGAATGTGCCTTTCCTTCCATCGGGAAAGAAAAAAGACTGACCATCTTTTCTTTAGTGTAATCACCTAACAAAGAAAACAATAGGACTTTAGAAATTTAAAAATACTTAGAGCCCTAGCTGCTGTGGGTCAGGTGGGTGGGCATTGTCCGGTGCACCAACATGTGGCCACAGGTCGATTCCCAGTTTGGAGCACAAACCCAGGTTTCAGCTGGATAACCCAGTAAGGTGCATGCAGGAAGCAGCCAAACCATGTTTCATTCTCACATCGATGCTTCTCTCTCTCCCTTTCCCTTCCCCTCTCTCTAAAAATCAATAAAAATATTTTTAAGAAAAATATTTAGAGACCATAAAACTGGCCCAACCTCCTCATGTTACAAACAAGAAAAATGTCTGACATCGAGCTCTCTTATTTGGACAATATTCATTTACTTTGATCAAAATTGAGATAAAAGAGAGAATTCCAATACCTGAATCAATATGTACTAAACTAGCCCTAGCTGGTTTGGCTCAGTCAGTGGATGGAGCACTGGCCATGGACTGAAGGGTCCCGGGTTCAATTCTGGTCAAAGGCATGTACCTGGGTTGCAGGTTCCCTAGCCCTGGTGGTTGGGGGGGGGAATCAGAAGGCAACCAATTGATGTGTCTCTCTCTCACATCGATGTTTCTCTCTCTGTCTCTCCCCATCCCTTCCACTATCTCTAAAAATCAATGGAAAAATAAACTCACTCTCTCTCTCTCTCTCTCTCTCTCTCACTATATATATGTTTTGTGTGTTTTTTCAATATATATATGTTTTGTTTGTTTTTTTAAAGAGTACTAAGCCAAATTTTGCTTTTAGTCTCTCAGGAGCTGATTTATTCTCTGAATGCTTATCTCAATTCAAACAATGCTAAGGGATGTTGTGGGAAACTGTAATAAAAATAACATTAGAAATGCTTGAGCATTTGTGTAAATTGAGTAAATTGAGTTCTATAAACTACTGAGCAAGAGTAATATTGTAGACACTTGTCAATAAAAAGTAGAACAGCATTAAATTAGGAAAACCTAGATCATGAACAATGATGCACTTAATTCTTTTGAAATACTTAGAAAGCAGGACAAAAACTTTGCTCAATGATAATATCTTGTTCTAATATTCAAAAAGAGAGGAAGCTCAGCTAAGCAACAGACATCATTCATGAAGTATTTTAACAAAGCATAACCATTGGGTATATTTACCCAACAACTGATATGTAATGGTTAACTCCAAAAATAGCATACATGTTATTATTTTTATACTTTTGGACATTTATAGGATGGGACATGAGTTCTAAACCATGGAAATAATCTTAACTAAGTAAGTTTATATGAAATCTATTTCTACTTTGGGGAGGAGCAATTTTGCTTTAACCATGACTTTTATATAATATCTGTGACCTCCTTCCCCAAATTTCCCCCAGTAAATCCATAATTAACTGTGCTTCATTTTCAATCACAACACTATAGAGAAAATAACAGCTATTTCAGTATACTTTTTATCTTTTTCTAACCTCTTCTGCCAGGTGATCTTGCTCTTTCTGGAATGGATCAATTTTTTTAACTGGCAGAGGTCCTCCTAATGCACTGCTCTCTGTATTCTTTGCAATATATGATGATGGAAAGTCTTCCCCTTCACACTCTGGTGTTTTCTTAGAAATTGTTTCAGTTTTTTCTCTAGATGTTCCAATCTTCATGTCCTGAAGATGACAGACATATGTTAAAACCTTAATAATTGTGCCTGATTTTCATTAGAGGTTCTTGAGTTATCATGAACCTATAAAAGTTTACTAACATTATTGTAAAATTGTATGTCCACTGGCACAATTAAATAATTCCAATATTCCCCTGTAGAAGCAACAGGGAATTGTAAATCAGAATGGTACATTATGTGCAAATACTGGGAAATGTGAAAATAAAATTTTAATTTAATTTAATTGGGGTATCAACAAAAATAATATTTTATACTAAATATAATCAAAATTAAAAATTGTTTTAAAATGTACCTTTTCAAATATTGTAACACTATTTCCATCTGATGATGAAACTGGCTGAAACAGGAAAGAAGCAGGGCTAAAAGGAAAAATAAAACAAAACAAATCCAAGTTACGAGGAGGAAAGAATCCCATACACTTTATATATCTGAATATTCTTAAAAAACTGTCTGCCCCGTATCTGTCCGTTACGATTTCTCTCAATTCGTCCCGGTCATCAAAAGGCAGTTTATTCTACGGAGGTATGGTGACAATTAGAGCAGCACTGCAGCTCAATTTGTGTATCTGCCTCCCAAATTATAAATATTTGCCTTACCTGCTATATATTTTAAGTCATCAGCATTTTTTACAAGGGTTAAATGATTTGATGAATACTCAAAAGCTTGAATAAAGGGTAAGAACAAATTCAATTAATTAGACTGGCATTATTACAACATCCTCAATCTTTAGATCACAGAATTTCATTGTAACAGAGACTTTCAGATTCTTTTGATATTTCATGACCAAAATCAATCTCTTATGCTGAATTTTGCTCTATAGCAAATATGTTATACTAACAATAGTCCTAAGGTTATTCACTTTGTTGCATTCTACACATAGTATTCCTTAATCTCTTACATTCCCTTGCTCCTTTGAATAAACAAAAACCTCATGTATCCTGCCCAGCCAGTGTGGCTCAGTGATTGAACGTTGACCCATGAAAAGGTCTCTCGTTTAATTCCCAGTCAGGGCATAAGCCCAGGTAGCAGGCTCAATCCCTGTTAGGGGGCATAGGAGGGAGCTGATAGATGATGTTGCTCTCTTGTTGATGTTTCTATCTCTCTATCTCTTTCCCTCCCTCTCTGTAAAAAATCAATAATTCTTTCCCTTCCTCTCTCTTTAAAAAAAAAATCAATAAACATTTTTTTTAAAAAACCTTATGTACATTTTCATTATAATTATAAAATAAATTATTAAATTTCTAAAGCCTTTAATTAAGCATTGACAACTTTATCTTCACCTTGAAAGAACTTTCAAATTCAATCATGGACTGGGTCTTCTTGTAGCCAAAAGCTTTTCTATTCTAGGTTACATGAAAGGCAGGATTACCAGAGACCACTTTTCAAAATCAACCATGTCAGTGTTCCTGGCTGGCGTGGCTCAGTGGTTGAGCATTGACCTATAAACCAGGAGGTCAGGGTTCAATTCCCAGTGAGGGCATATGCTCAGGTTGCAGGCTCAATCCCCAGTGTAGGGCATGAAAGAGGTAGCCAAACAATGATTATCTATCATTGATGTTTCTATCTCTCTCTCCCCCTCTCCCTTCCTCTCTGAAATCAATACACACACACACACACATATATATATACTTTAAATGTCAGTGCTTTACTTTCTGTTCATAGCCAGAAATATAAAATTAACACTTTGCAAATATTTTATAAAAAGTAAATATGCTCCTTCCAAACAATTCAAAATCACTGAAATTGTTCATTTCAGCTTCCCCTAAACCGAATATAATCTACATATCAAAGGCAAAAAATTAACTATCTACTGCAATTTTATCTTAATTATTCCAAAAACTCAACATTAAAATGACCAAAAGCTGTGATGGAGAGCCAATAATCTATACACCAAGGGCACTAAGATGCCATCACAAGATGGTGAGCTCCTTGGAGAAAAAGACTATTTCTTGCCAAAGGCTATTGCCAAGGGAGTATTTGATTGCTACTTAATAATGCTTAATTTCAATAAAAAAACAAATATATTCCCCAAGTATATTACATACATTTAGTTTAGCTGGTTTGGCTCAGTAGATAGAGAGTTGGCCTGCAGATTGAAGGGTTCTGGGTTCAATTCCCAGTCAGGGCATATGCTCAGTTGCAGGCTCAATCCCTGGCCCTGGTTGGGACACGTGCAGGGGGCAACCAATCAACGTATCTCTCTCTGTCTCTCTCTCTCCCTTTCAATCTCTCTAAAAATAATGGAAAAATATCCTCAGGTGAGGATTTAAAAAAAAATTTTTTTTTCTTATATAATCTGGCGTCAGTTTTATGGGCCAAAAAGGGGTAACAGAAAAAACAGGCAATAAAAATATAAGAATACGCCTTAGTTACAACAAATTAAGTAGGTTCAGTTTTTCATATGTTAAATTATGGGATTTAAAAGAACCAGAAGCCTTTCTTTGTTTAAAAGAATGAACTTTTTATCAAATGGCATATAAAAACCCCAACATATAATAGAGATAAAAGAGCAAACTGCTCAGGTTGAAGTGGGAAAGGTGGGACTGCCAACAGGCTGAATTAGATTCAATCCACAGAACCAGAGGGTGCTGCAGAATACAGGCTGAAAACTACAAAGTGGATGATCTCAAAGGTTCCTAAACTCTTGGATTTAGTCAAAAGTTACAAGTGGTTTCAAAGAAGTTCACAGACAAAAAAGACAACAATTCAAATTCCCAAACTTACATTAGATAATCTTCATATATGTGTTTTTCATAAAAAATGAGACGATTCCCATGAATCCCAACATTTTTATAAAGAAGAAAAAAATATGCCCATGTATCAGAAATGTTGAATCTTTCCTGAAAATATAGACTAGCCGTGGAAAAATACTGTCTAAGAGAAGAAAATTATTGACTCTCCCACATTAAAAAAGCTTGGAAACTGGCTAAAGATGGGACTATTATTAACAAAGGGGGAAGAAAATCAATATGAAAATCAATTTTGTTTTACCTGTTGGTTAAATCATATACAGTTCCCAGTACATCACTGGCTCTTCTACAATCATTTTCCTGGTTATGCTGTTTAGCTGTATCTAAAAGAACAGAAAAATTAATTACTCTGTATGTTTTTCCATTCTAATATGTTTTTAAATTTTAAGGAAAGCCATTGCTAGATTACAGAGGATGATATTCCAGGGGCTCCTCTTCTTTCAACACGTTAGATTCTGAAAGACTATTATACACGTGTCCAAAGTATCATCTACACTAATAAAAGAGAAATATGCAATTTGGTGTCACTCCGCTACGCCCACCAGCCAATCAGAGCAACTATGCAAATTAACCCAACAAAGATGGTGGTTACTTTGCATACACAGGTGTGGAGAGAAGACTGAAGGCTTTGACCAGAGTGAAGACCAAAGACTGAAGAGGCTTGGCTTCTCCCCTGCAGCACAGCAGAGAAGCCAAGCCTCACTGCGGCCGCAGTGAAGAAGCTAAGCCTTGCTGCAGCCAGACCAAAGGCCTGGGTCCAAGGTGCCGGAGGAAAACCGGTGCCAGCAGCCAGGGGAAGGAAGGCCTATTGCGTGAATCTTCATGCAACGGGCTTCTAGTATATAATAAAGTGGTAATATGCAAATTGACCATCACTCCAACACACACGATGGCCGCCCCCATGTGGCCACAAGATGGCCTGCAGGGGAGGGCAGTTGGGGGCAACCAGGCCTACAGGGGAGGGCAGTTGGGGGCAACCGGGCCAGTAGGGGAAGAATTGGGGGTAATTGGGACGGCAGGGGAGTGGTTAGGGGGTGATCAGGCTGGCAGCAGAAGCGGTTAGGGGCAATCAGCCATGCGGGCAGTTGGGAACCAGACGTCCTGGATTGTAAGAGGGATGTCTGACTGCCCGTTTAGGCCCAATCCCTCGAGGGGTTCCAGATTGGACAGGGTGCAGGCTGGGCTGAGGGCCGCGCCGCCCCCCTCCCCCAGGGCATGAATTTCGTGAACCAGGCTTCTAGTTACTATATAAGAAGCCAATGTACACTATGTAAAGTTTTCCTTTTAATTCATCATAATAGTATACCAACTTATAACATTTTCAATCTCTATGCTTTTGCAGCTACTAATTATAATGAAATTACTGAGATTTATATATTATTCCAAAAATGAGCACAAATACAAATAAAATGATTATGCACAACTATAAACACCATCTGATGGAGGTAGGCACTGTTGAAATACATTTGTTGTGGTATATAACAAAGTTGTAAGGTAAAAGTTGCTAAGTAAAAAAACATCTAGAGCCCTAGCCCAAGCATGTCAAACTTGTGGCCCATGGACCACATGCCTCATTTATTTGGCCCATGTTAGCCTTTGAGTTTGACATGCTTGCCTAGCTGGTTTGGCTCAGTGGATAGAGTATTGGCCTGCAGACTGAAGGGTCCCGAGTTCATTTCCGGTCAAGGGCACATGCTCTGGTTGCAGGCTCAATTCCCAGTAGGGGGAATGCAGGAGGCAGCGATCAATGATTCTCTCTCATCATTGATGTTTCTATCTCTCTCTCCCTCTCCCTTCCTCTCTGAAATCAATAAAAAAAAAATTTTTTTAAAGCATCTGGAACTTCATTCTTTATTTTTTCCTAAAGGTGATGGATGATAGGAAGCCACTGATGTGTATTACACCAGGAGATGAAAAGGATCATATTTACACCACAGAAAGACCACTGAGAGTCATTTGTAATATGGAATAGATAGAACACTGGAGGCTGAGTAGTTAGTTAGAACACAATTACAGGCAAGAAATTATAAAAAAAAAACAAAAACAAAAAACAACTAAGCTACAGCACTTAAGATGTGAGGCAAAGGAGGGGACAGACATAATAGAGCATTTAGGGCATAAAAACAAACCTGAACTCACCAGTACAAAGCAAACCAAGATGAAGCAGACACTGTCTCCTACCATAAAGACACTAGAATTGCTAAATAAAAGTTAAGAATAAAAGAAAAAAAAAAGAATACCCAGAATAAAAATAAAAATCGTCACATGCCAGAACCAAAGATGGATAGAATGGTCAGCATGATAAGCTCACACAGAAATGAAAGCTCCATGAGGCAGGCTCCAAGGGCTCAACACTGGAGACTTGATGCCTACATGTAACAAGAAATACCATCTAACATCACTCAGGCTGAGATCTGAGAGACTGCCATAAGGCAGGACACTGTAAAAGCTGCTCAGCCCCAAAAAGGGGATTATAAAAATCTACCAACTGGATCCGGGAAGTAGCAGAGAAGCTTGCTGTCTACCTAGGGAAAGGAGGGAGGGCTGCAGGGAAAAAGAGAGGGAGGAAATTTAAAATCTAGCCTACTCCAAAGGAGGTATGAATAAAAACTTAAACTGCCTACTTGGTGTAGGAATCCCAAACCAAAGACACTAACTGGCCTAGTTCAAGGGAAACAGGTGCAACCCTAGGCCACTCTGTAGAGACCCTTCTACAATTCAGGGCCCACATGACTCCTCCGGGGGTGAGGAGATGTTGAGATGAGTCGATAAGAAAGAGACCAACATGAAAATTAGCAGGCGAGAATATAGAAGCAGAAGTACCTTAAAAATAGAGACATTAGAAAAAGTGACAAAGATAAAATCAGTACATTTTAAATGATCAGAAAAAAAAAATAACAACAGAAGCCAAAATGAAATATGATGATAAAGAACTGGCAGTTTTGAAAAAGAAGCAAATGAAAAGTACATTCATGAAAACTCAATACTAAATGGACATGTCAAAAAGGAAATTAAACCTGACTAAAGAGATCATTGGTGACCTAACCGGTTCGGCTGAGTGGATAGAGCGTCGGCCTGCGGACTCAAGGGTCCCAGGTTCGATTCCGGTCAAGGGCATGTACCTTGGTTGCGGGCACATCCCCAGTAGGGAGTGTGCAGGAGGCAGCCAAATATGAAGGAGAGGATTAGACGTCCCAGCAATAGGACTTACAAAAGGAAAAGGTAAAAACACTAACAGAGAGGCAATATTAAGAACAGACATTCGTGCCCTAACTGGTTTGGCTCAGTGGATAGAGCGTCAGCCTGCGGACTGAAAGGTTCCAGGTTCGATTCCAGTCAAGGGCATGTACCTTGGTTGCAGGCACATCCCCAGTAGGGGGTGTGCAGGAGGCAGCTGATGGATGTTTCTCTCTCATTGATATTTCTAACTCTCCCTCTTCCTTCCTCTCTGTAAAATATCAATAAAAACATATTTTTTTAAAAAAAGAAGATATTAGTGAATAAGTTTTCAGAACTAAAGAAAGACATGAGCCTTCATATTAAAAAGTACACACAAGTCCCAAACAGGCTAAATAAAACAAATCTACATTCAGAAACATCTCATTGAACCTGCATAATACAAAAATAAATAAATGAAAGTCTTAAGAGCAATGTGGCATCAAATGTCTCAGAAACAACAGAAGGCAGAAAGCAATGAGAGCATATCATCAAAGTCATAAGGAAAAATAAGTGTCTATCTAGAACAGTGATGGTGAACCTATGAACCTATGAACCTATAATTTAACAAAGAAAAATCAACCAAAAAAATGAGTCCCAAAAATGAGTTCCCACGCAAACTCATTTTTTTGGTTGATTTTTCTTTGTTAAATGGCATTTAAATATGTAAAATAAATATCAAAAATATAAGTCTTTGTTTTACTATGGTTTCAAATATCAAAAAATTTCTATATGTGACACGGCACCAGAGTTAAGTTAGGGTTTTTCAAAATGCTGACATACCGAGCTCAAAAGGTTCGCCATCACTGATCTAGAATTATATATCCAGTCAAACTATCATTCAGGATTTAAGTGAAAATAAAGGCATTATCCTAGAAAGACTAGAGATTTTACTAATAAGGGTCCAAAAATAAAAGTAATGGATATACTTCTAGATATATTTCTCAAAAGGAAAAAGTAGAACAAAAGAAGTAATACTGATTTAAAAAAAAAAAAACAGTGAAGTGTTGGTAAATCTAAACGCAAAATAATTGTTGAAAACAATTTCTACCAATGTCATTTTTTAAAAAAAAGGGTAGGGTCATTATTCTAGAATAAAAGTTAGATAGACAGAACAACAAAATGTAATGAGTGAACTCTTCTTAAATCCTGGTTCAAAAATAAACATTTACTAAGGATAGTTCTGGGGATACGAGAAATCTTATTCATAAATTTAGATTGGCAGGAGAATACTGTGTATTGTTAGATCTCTACATGAGTAAAACTATTTTTATAAACATATACCAGAACAGACATTAAGATTCAGGGTAGTGGTTACCTCTGCAAATTCAGGAAGAATGGGGCCAATGAAAGGCAGATACCCAAAAGTTAACTATGTCTGCACTGTTTAAAAAAAACCTAAAGCAAATATTGCAAAGATTTGTCAAGAGAGTGTTTGTAAGCAGATATTTATATTATCCCCTGTGCTTTTTAATATGCTGAAATACCATTTAAAAAAATAATTTAAGAGAAAATTACTTCAAATAAGATGTATTATATAAGGTGAAGGGGTTGGACAAAAGTTGTTATACTCAAAAAGTATAAAATAAGAGTTCAAACTGTGCTGTGTGGGAGGAGAGGGTTACCACCAAAGCACTTATCCAAGAACTCTAATGTGGACTTCCAACTGGACATCTTAAGCAGACACAAATATGCCCTCACTTCCAAGATAGAGACACAGAGATCTCTGAATGGACAAGCGGACAATTCCATGGTTTCACAGAGCCTAAACTAAGTCTGACCAACGTAGAAAGGCCCTTTCCAAGCTGAAGTGACAACACAATGCCAACCAAATACGCCAAAAACTTTCAAAGTAATTCTATCATCAAAAGCAATGCTCTACTGAAGATCCTTTTCATTCATCAAACCACACAGTCCAAATGTTCTACTCTTCTCCCAGCACCTATTCTGAGACTTGCTCTCTGGTCTGCTATCCTTCCCAACCAGTGCCGTCCCTAAATACACCTGACTCCCAATCCAATCACCTATTCCACTTGTGTCCACCCATTTCTTAATAAGTCCTGCCATGACCTCTAGCCTGCCTGAACTCAACTATGATCTATACCTATTACCTTCCACTTGGCTATATAATTCATATATTTTTTATTCAGTTATTCCTCCACCTATCCATATTATATTTACTGACCCAATAACAATTTAACACAGTACTGGGCAACTGGTGAAACTGAATATATATTGGATATTGTAGAGAAAGTAATTTTTAGGTGTGACATTGGTATGATAGCTAAGGAAACTTAATAAGGCATTATAGATTTACTACTGGCCCAGTGCACAAATTCGTGCACATTGAAAGGAATTTAATTAGAAGAAATATTTTAACATCGCCATTCGCCCTTTCTCTATAATAAAAGTGTCAGAGATGAAAGAAAGTTAGCAAAATGTATATGAAAATACTATATTAATTGATTAATAAACAAAATCAACATAATATAACAACAAAGACATATAAAAACAAAAAATGATATAAAAACAACAAAAACATGATATAAAAACAGCATTGATAAGAAAAATGATAAATTGATTAAACTTATTCTAATATCTCCCTGTATACCACATTAAGAGTAAAAACACTTTCAGAGTGCTTGACTAATTTCCCTTGTGATGAAGTATTTACAACTTTAACTTTAATGTCTTTGAACTCAAGAGAAAGTAGCACATAACTGACCATGTCCAAAAACGGTTCAGGTAGGAATATTCCTAGTCTGTCTAGAGCAGGGGTCCTCAAACCACAGCCCGCGGGCCACATGCAAATACAAATATTGTATGTGTTCCCGTTTTGTTTTTTTACTTCAAAATAAGCTATGTGCAGTGTGCATAGGAATTTGTTCATAGTTTTTTTTTCAACTATAGTCTGGCCCTCCAACGGTCTGAGGGAC